CAAATGGAGCTAACTGAAACACAAACTATTTAAATAAATTCTGCACTATATTTTCATCAAATAAATAAACTAATTCTGGGTAAAAATCAAGAACTTTACCAAATAATTTGTTTCTCAAAATCACATACAAAAGACAGTAAAACAAAAAGTGCATTTCACTCTCAATTTCATTTAAATATAAAGAACATTTTCCATCCTCAGCTGGAACTGAATGAAATTGTCCCGTCTCCAAAGGCAACGTATCAGATCTGAGTTGTGCACAAACAGACATTTGTTGTTTACTTAAATTATGCTCAATTAAGTTCCATTCCACATTATTACAAATAACTTCATTTCTGGACATTTATGGTTTGATTTCTTTGTATGTATGGATCACTTGGGTTGTTACCGACATCTGGTGAAAATTTCATGTCATTAGCACCTCTAGTAATATATTTACTGAGACAAATGGTGACGTGTTCAACACTTATTTTACCCGCTGTATAAGCCCACCTCTCAAATAACATTTTTCTAAAGGCCAAAATGACTTAATGTTGAATGAAAATGTTAATGTTTAAAAGTTTGGGGTGAAGGCTCTCTGTTTGAGCTGCTCTACCACCGTCATCTTCATACTGTGTTACATACATCTGACATGTACTGCCAGTGACAGGTGTGACAGATCCAAACAAACCAATAGGGTGTCAGAATGATTCCCCTCAGCAAAAAGTGATATATGCAAGTGTTCAAGTATACTAATTTTAAACTTAAAATAAAAAAGTATACTTCCATTTTACTTTTTATGTACTTATCTGATGTACTTAAACAAGTTTATCTTACACTGTACTTGGCTTGTACTAAAAGTTTAAGTACTGTATACTTACGTTAGTTTATACTAATGTTTAAACTTTTGGTCAAGATAAACTTGTAGCATATTTCAAGATTAAACTAAAACTATACTTAGATTGCTTTCAGTATACTTCTGAGTATACTTTCATTAATATTTTTGTGGGCCAATTTAGTCCTAGAAGTATACTTGTTAGTAAACTGCTAGTACACTTATATCAGTGTACATGGTAAATAAAAGTTCACTTAGGGAAATAAACTTTTATTTACTTCAGTATACTTAATGACATGTACTTAAAGCATACTTCTTTTTGGCAAGTTTATAAACTTAAAAAGATATCAGTATACTTAAAGTATACTTTTTTATAAATTAAAACATCCCAATTTAGTACGAAAACAAGTTTTAAATCAATATACTTTCTGGTACACTACAAGTACATGGTGTCTAGTATACTTGACATACTTAAACTTATACTCAAGTATACGTATTAAAATGAATTTCAAGTATACTACTTTTTGCTAAGGTTTATATTTTTACTTCTCATCCAACCACAGTCACATTCACTCTGCTGGTGCACAACTTTTCTGCTTTTGTTTTTAACAATGACAAGCAGGAATAAAACASGCTACAATGAGATAAAAACAAAATACTTTTTTTTAGAGATACCCAAAATTTCTACTTCAGTAAGGTGATAAGGTATTTGTACTTTGTTACTTCTGTCTCTGACAGCTGCTGACAGAAAGAAAGAAATGTTTCCATTAAAACGAAGTTTTCAATCGTCTAACAATAAAAAAGTGACTTTAATTCAAAGGTGTTTCTTCAGAGAGACTGGAAGCAGCTTSTGGTGTCTGCTGTCTGCTAGATGTGCTCAGGAACTGTCTCTAACGCCTCCTCTGGATCTCTGTTTACGTCCACGTTCTGAAAAAGACAAGATTGTAAACAGTTTCTCTCTGTAGTCCTGAAACATWAAGGTTTTCAGCAGAGTGTTTTTCATTATTCACCATGTTTCCCTCATTTTACCATTACTTTGTCTAATAATTTACTATAATACTCCTTCTTGTGTTTTCTTATAATCCAAACAAAATTCTTTTTATATTTCTTGTATCTATCTTCTGCTTCTTTTGTTCTTGATTTCAGGAAGCATGAAAACAAGTGATTCTTTTTTTTTTACATGCATTTCTCAATCTGTTTGTCATCCATGGTTTATCAACAACATCTCTTTTTGTAAATTCTTTTTGTACAAATTTTTTTTCATATAGACCTCCCAAGATATTCATAAATACGTCATAAGCTCTATTTACATCGTCAACATACACATCCTTCTTATTTTGTATTATCAAATCATCTTTTAATTTATCCAAGGGTTCTTTTTGTGTTTATTTTTTTCTTCATTGTATGTACTTTTGTATTGC